GTTTCAATTTCACAATTTCTAAAAAATTCAGAGTTCTATAAACTGAAAACAAGAATGGTGGACTTGACGCAGACATTGCTGACAAAATACTTTGATAAACCTATCTAGTGAATTTTAGGTTTAGAATCTTCGTTATTTTAATTTTAAATATTGAGGTTAGTTACATTTTGTCACTTTTTCTTATTGAAAGTAACAGACTTAAACTTTATGAATGTTTTTCAACACATTAGTTATACAGATGGGTTCTAAAAATTCGTATAGTTGTTGTTGATCAAATTTGTTAGTTGATGTAGTTAGTAGAGTATTCAAAGTTTGGGTGATTTATAAGTTCATCTATGAAAATTAGCTTACTTTATAGTCAGTTAATGTTTTGTCTAAACTATGGTTTAAGATATTTTAAACACAGAGTTGTAATACTTTGTACGAATCTTGGTCTAATTTATTATGTATAGGTCATAAACAAGTAAAATATTTGTGTTGTGTTTGTCCAGGGCCAGCCCAAGGGAGTCTAAAAAAATCAGAAAATATATAGTGCCTTTTTCATATTTTTGTTAATATAAAAATAATTAAAAACCTTATTTCTAAAAATTAGCTTAAAAATTTTGAGGTTTTAATTAATGGTTTTTTTACTTGCTTGTGTTCTGGACCGACTCTGTTTATATCCAACCTATCAATGAAAAATAGTGTAATTTATAGCCGCTATCCGCTGAATAACCTCTTTCACCACTTAGGAAATAGGAACCACATATGTGATAATAAACCAAATCATCTCGTGAGCCCTCATAAAACGGTTAAATAGTGTAACAAAGTTGTTTGGGAAAGTTATAGATAGAGGAAGATGATGAAAATTAAGTTTGCAACACAACGTTTATTGGTAAATTGTTTAATTCGAAAAATGAAAACACTCTTTTAGGAGGAAAATAACAAAAGTACATCGATACGAAATCAGTATGAACCACTTTCAATAGAGCAGTTTGTCCACCTTTTAAACCAAATCACATATATATTTTTGATTAACAAAAACAAGATATAAAATTCCACAAATCATCAAACGATGGAGCATCTTGATCAGCATCTTGGAAGATCCAACGGTGGAGCTTGCACCGATTGCAACAGTCCTCGTCCGTTCTCAACCAAGAAAACCATCGCTAAACCCCATCCCAAATGCGAATCAATGTGACAATGCATAAACCATGCTCCTGCATTATTAACACGTAATAATTATGTCACATTTCGTTCCTAATTTTGGGTTAGATATTCACTTAGTGTAAGATTAATAAATTAATTAATTACCTGGATTATCAGCGACGAACCGGATTGCAACCCAACCACCTGGAGGTGTACCAATGGTGTTCTTCTCCGGTGGGTCATATAAGTTAAACCTAGCCGGGTCAGTTCTCGGGTTGAAATTCCCAAAACCGGAACCGACAACGTAGAATTGGTACCCATGTAGATGCATAGGATGATTCTCAGGCGTGACAATGCTTGTGTCTTGTAACACAATCTGAACATTAGCGTTGTACTTGAGTTTGTAAGCTTTCGTTCCTTTCACGGGCTGCCATAGCCCACGGCTAACGTTACCGGTGTAGTCGAATTGCACAGGTGGAACAGGCGGGAAATCCGTCGTGATGATTCCGGGCATGCCTTGGTAATAAGCTTGCATGACCGAGTTGCTTCGTGGTAGCACGAAGGATTGGTTGTTGATGCTGGCCGCAAACCGGGTCCCATTAGGACCCTGGCAACGCGGGCTGTTCGGGTTGGAGCAGTTTATGAGCCCCAAACCAACGGTGAAAAACAGGTTTTCGTCGATCTGGAGTGGTACTGGAGCTTGTTTCCAGTACCGTAGACGGTTGACGTAAGCGGTTGCAGTCGCGGTGTCATTGAACCCGGGAAGAACTGGGAAAATAGGAGCGATCTGGCCACGGCCGCGACCACGTCGAGTCCGAGCATTGACGTACTCAAAGATAGCGGTTGTGGTTGTGTTGTCGAAAGGGGCATTTGCGCTGTTGTAAGCCCGAGCTGCCATGTAGTAGCGCCCAGGACGCTGGTTTGCGGTGAGGAGGACGTTAGTGGTTTGGCCCGGACCAACCATGATGACACTTGTGGTAAATGGTTTCGTGTAGGCAGAATCGGTTTCGACGACTGTGAGCTGGTGGTTGGCCACCGAGAAGAAGAGCTCTTGGTTCATAGCGGCGTTGATGACACGGAGCTGAACGGTTTCACCCGGGAAAATTGGGAAACGGACAGTCTCGGCCCTCGAGCAGCGGTAGAGATCTCCTGGTTGGCCATTGATTGTGTAAGCGTCAGAGACATTAGCTGCTGCTCCTGTGAATTGTGCTTGCCTTAAAACGTCCATTGGGTTTCTATCCCACCATTCCCCTGTTTGCAAACACAAACATTATTTAAAACTATTTGCGGTTCTGAAAATAAATGCAATTTGAAATGATTAGAAGCTATAAATTCTTACCGAGAAGAATTGGGATGTCCCGTTTGGGCATAGAGAAGGGATAAGGAGAACCGAGACGAGGGTAGATGACGAGAGCACCATAGACGGTGGCTCTGAGCCAGCGACTATGAGCGTGCCACCAAAGTGTACCTTCCTGGTCCTCGATTTTGAATCTGTAAGTGTAGCTTTGTCCTGGACGGATCGGACATTGTGTTATGTACTCTGGACCATCAGCCCACGGATTCCGCAGCTGTCTGATTCCGTGCCTATCCAAAAAGCAGAGCAAAACAGAGTATAAAAAAAGAGCAAAAACAGAACATAACATATGTTTTTGTTGGTTTTGATTAGAGAATTTATATTTACCAGTGGATGGTAATGTTGTAACGAGCTCTGTTGATGACGGTGATTGCGAGGGAGTCACCATTCCTGACCTCAAGCGTTGGACCAGGGAACTGACCGTTCACGGTAATAGTTTGGTGAGTTCTGCACAGCCTCTTCACTGGTCTCGGCTGGATCTAAGTCATTGCCAAAGGAGAATACACACAAAAAGTCGTCGGTTAAACTTAAAGTAAGCACGTTCATTAACGCAAGAAAATACAAACAAGCTACAATGTAGCGAGATCAGCTAACTTACCACGAATTCACGGACGTGATGCTCAGCGGAAGCGAGAAAAGCGAAGTAAGCAAGAAGAGCGATGGAGACTACAAAGGAGAATCGCCGGAGAGTCTCCATTAATGCTGTAGTCTGAGAAGCTCTGTGTTGGAGATTTTGTGGTGTGACATTATAGGAAGGAGAAGATTGGTATTTATACACATTAAGCGGGAATACAACAAAGCTCTTTGTGAATTCGTTAGCAATGTGACAATTTTTTTATTATATTTTACTATAGTGGTTTAGAGTCAGCAGGAGGGAGAAAAAGAAAAAGAAAAATTTCACAATGGGTTTAGTTGATTTGGTGCACCCACTGGACTAATTTGGTACTAGGATCCTCTAATTATTTGATCATAATTTATAAATCCCAAATTAAACATATTAAAGATTCTTTTTAATTAGTTAGTTTGTTTAATTTGCTGACTATGGATTAAGTTGAAAAATCGGCATGCAATATGCATTTGTCGCACTGATTCCATCGCAAATTCTAAAGTAAAAAATGTGAGAAATGTTTTAAAAGTGCCACTTTTCATGTGCTACTTTTCAAAAATGCCACATTTTTAAAATCTTTGTAAAAATGTCACTTAAAAAAAAAATTCATAATATTATTTATGTTTGGATTAATTATGTTGTATTAGGGTTTAGTTTTGAGGATATAAGGGATTTTATGGGTTAAAACATTTTTTAGGG